CAGCTACGTTAATAACGTAGCTGAATTCGAAGTACCTTAGTCCGAACTTACCGCGGTCCAGACGCGGCAGGAAGGCTCCCCCGTCGATGCTGCGTACTCCTCTCGGCGAGCTGGAGTACCGGTGTCGACGGCGAGCACTTCCGGGATCGATCCCAGAACATCGATTGCCTGCCGCCGGACCCTCCGGTAAGTGAAGACGTACCCTTAGACATAATTAGATCTGTCTGATGGACAACAAATCCATTTTGCAGAAATTGTGTCAAAATGGCTGTTTTGGGATCAATAAACTAAAGTTTTTGATTTGGGTCTCTCTCTCTCTCCCCCACCCCCTCCAGAAATATCTAGAGAGCTGAGGACCTTACATACCCCTAGAACAATCCTTGAAGCTGATGCATCTCCGCTAAATACCTTGGCTTCAACAAACCAGCATTTTGCCTTGAGATTCCATTTTGTCAAAAAAGTTTAGACCAGCTCTATATATAATTAATTCAGTTTTACAAAATGATGGTTTGGGGTGGCATTTTACCATGAATTTACCCACTGCCAGTTTGCTGCACTGACCACTGTGCTAGGAGGTTAAAATCAAGGCTCTACCAACTCACTGCCTCTTTGCCACCCAACTGCATGGGTGGTGGATGTAGCAGGCAGACAGCACTTAGTTACTCCTCCACACTGAGACCCAAGGTCCAGGCAGTCAGTGCAGGGGTGGAGGGAAAGTTTTAGTTCCCCTTTTGCCCTGTGTGTGCATGTATCTGGCCCTGAGACATTAGAGGGTCCAACATTAAGGCTTAGGGGCCCTCCATCCTGCAAGTTATGATCTTAAAAGAAAGTTACATTAAAATGTCTTGACTGAATGCTATATTAAGAATGATGGAGCACTGATACACTCCTTTATTCTTTCCTGTTTTTAACTGATTTTTTTTCCCATATGAGTCAATCTCACTTCTTGAACTAACATGAAAAAAATAGTATAGAGTGGTCAGAGGCATCATGCCTATGCCTTCTGATATTACTGGAGGGTTATTGTCCCCTTCAAATTCACTTCTTTAGCTTGGTTTTCATACAGACAAATACTGAATTGATTGAACTCTGTTGGAAGGTCTTATGTTCCGAGGCCCCATAAAACATTATTTGGATTTCCCTGTATTTAACAATTTGGGATGGTCTGGTATTTATAGAAATGTACAATAAATCTCCTCTTGGAACAAATACCTTTGTGGAAATTGGGCATTCGATCTCGCTAGTGCCATACCTATTACAAAATGGAAGTCTTGCTGGGTTACATTACCTTGGATGTTACACTTTGCTCATCTCTGAAATACAATATAATCTGTTTCCGTGAATGTGTTTCACATCATTTCCATTGTTAATAATGAAGTGTAAACCAGAGCATTATATTTGCATTAATGTGACCATGAAGGAATTAGATTTTTTATGTGGCATTATCAAGTCGTACAAACTTTCTAATCTAACATTCTGACTTTGATTGTATCTCACTTCACTGGGTTGCCAAATTCCTAAGGATCAAATTTAGCCCCCTGTGGGGATAAAGTAAAAACTGAAATTTCTGCAACCTAAATTAATAATAATAATAATCTGTATATGGATTTCTGTTCCTGCATGCAGGTACATTAAGCAAAACATGAATAGATCTATAATCAAAGAAACAGAAATGTTGTCAAGTCTACTGCAATGGTCTCATAGCCTAGCATCTGAGAAAGGAGAAGATAAAATGAACAACTATACTGCTAGCCAAGAAATGCAGTGAGACCCCAGACCTGTTTTAACTACATCTTTTTACATTTAATAAAAATAGTAGCAGGCATATCTCTCCATCTGCGAAGACCTACATCATGCTGGAAGCAACGTGTGACAAAGATCCCAAAATGAGGGACACACACACACACACACACACACACAACAAAGACATGCAGTAGTCTTATAACACAGTGTGATTCTTGCCTTTAATGTAAGTGATTCTCTCTATAAACCACAGTTTCACAGTTCTTTATTTCAGATGTAAAAAATTTTCAAAGATGAAAATGAGGGGCCACCAATTGTGTGTGGAATGTTGGTACCTTTGGGACTGAAATAAGTGATGTATCTCAAAATGAGGGACAGTTAATAGGTATGATAACTTGTGAACTGTATTAATCTATTGCAAATCTGACTATATTATGTACTCCCAAAGACTGTCAAATACCTACTCTACATTCTGTGTTCCTTTACTTCATAGTGGGAAATGAATGAGGCTTGTAACCTGGCTGCATAGATTGTAAGCATGTTATTTACATTCATATCACTGTTTGTTATGTTAATATTGATACATTTTTATATCTGATGCCATTTTTAGCTGCACTGTCTGTCTAGTAGCATCAATTTATGTGTTATATCCTGTTACATTTTGTAATGAGTAAAAGTGTTAAAATGTTTTTGATAACATTTTCAATGAAAACCTATTTAAATTTGGCAAATTAATACTTTTTAAAAATATGTCTTTGCTGTAGAGAAGACAGAGTAGGCTTGAAAAGAAGAGGTTCTTTCCAACCAGTAGTTATAGAGTTAATGTTTCAACAGACTACAAAATGATATCATGTCTGCTGATATTTTCTGTCATTTCAAGGGTAGGAAGATGGACAAAATGTTGAAAACTGCATGGTTATACCAGAAATGGTGGTGTTAATGTAATAGTCAAATTTTCAAATCTTACATATAAATTGTACTCTTAAAATAGGCTTTTATGATTGTGCAGAGGTGATAGTGTGCACAAAACCTTAATTTATAAGCCAAATAGGAATAATTTTGTACCACTCCCCAAAGCTGTTATTCGGGCACAACTCCCATTACATACTGTGGAATAAAAGTGTA